GAAAGAGAGGAAAGCAGAGGCTGGAGCCTCCTCTCAGCCTCCACAGCTGGAGAATGACCATGCACACTGAGGAGTGATCTCCTGCAGGAGATTTCCCACTCTCAGGAGTCCTTTTCACGAACCACCATGCCCAAGACCTTGCAAGAGCCACCAGACTTGCTGAGGGCTTTGTTGAGGAGGAAAATGCCCAGAGCTTTTGCTGTGTGGGTGTGAGAACAGGCTAGTGCTGGTGAGGCTGAGGCAGCTCTGCGGCATCCAGCAGGAGCCACCCTCCAGGCTGGCACGTTGCTGAGCCCTTCACCTGCCCAAGGGCTGGGTTTCAGCAAGCCAAAAGTTCAGTCCCAGTGTCTATTGTGGGAGACAAACTGGGCACTGCTTGTGTCACTGGCTGGATCGCCCCCCAGCCAGGGGGATCTCTGTTGACTTCTGGTCTCACCACAAATGGCGAAGAGATCCCCAAAAGTCCAGCTGTGTGACAGAGCAGCTGCCAATGCACCCACTCCCTGCAGAGGAGGGAAGTCCACCATGGATGTCCCCAGTGCCAGGCACCCCAGGGGCTATGCTACCCTGGCATATCTTCCCCCTTGTAAGGAGCTGTTTGGGTACAAGGACCACTTACCTCAGGTGCTAACAGCAAGGCCAGCACATAACACCCTGGGTACAAAAACCTCATGACTCAGGGCATGAAAACAGACCCCCAAGGACATGACCACAACCAGCACTGTGGGCCCCTGAAAGGCCCAGAGAGGTGGATTATTAGGGCTGGTGCTAGTCCTGCTACAAGAGAGACATCCTCAACAAGGGACCTCCAAAAACCCAAGTCACCAACACTACAATAAGCCTATAATAAATTATCTGGAGACACAACCCACTGCCTGTACACAGAGAAATGCCCATACTGCCTTTTGCCCCCACCAATCCAACTTCTCTGACCTTAGTTCTAGTGTTCCAACCTAAACATGAAGCAACACTCATGCTATGGACTCCTCTCCCTAACTTTGCCCACCTCAATCTCTGCCACTGCTCAGCAACTTGCCAGAGATGGAGCCATCCTCATTCCCTGGAAACTCTGCTACCACACGGACCTAAGTGGTCGCTCCCCAGCATGTTCTGCCCACTCTCATGCAAGCAGCACAGACCCAGGTGACAACACATCCCTCTCCAGACAAGAATGCCTATCATGAGCTGGCTGGGGAGTTGCTGAGCACAGCAGAAAGAGCCTGAGTCAAACCAAGAGCTGCCCAAGGCCAAGGAAGCCGTGATTTGCTGAAGGATATCCAGGGAATTCGAGGTAGGGATGTGATGCAATTCCTCTGACCTCCGAGTGGCGGTGGCTACCGACAGGCAGAGCATGGGCAGGTAGCGTGAGGATCTGCTTCACTGCTCAGCGGTGTTACTGCATTTTAGAGCCGTTAATCACCAGTGCCTGTAAAGCCATGCAGCAAGTTTCCTTGGGCCCTGAGGGGCTGGCAGGCACAGAGCAGCATCTCTGCAGCCTCCACGTGCCAATCCTTGGAAATTACTTACCCAAACCATCTCAGCATATCTGCCTTTTCCTGGCTAACCACGGATGAGCCACCAGCTATGATGACAACACAAGATATTATTGCATCTGCTTTGTGCTTCCCAGCGATGTGCAGACCACAGTGACTCACAGTGCTACTTCAGAGGTGAATGTCAGGAGCACCTGAGCTGTGGGCAAGCATTTCTAGATCTCCAGAGCTGAATATGATGCTCAAATCAAGGCAAGACTAGAGCTGTGCCTCCACAGGGCACCCTGAGATCATCTTTGTCTTTAGCAGCTTCTCTTCCAAGAGAGGATCTTACCTTAAGGATCAGCACCTGCACAGCCTGACCCCAGGCAGCTCCTCCTGTTTGGTTTGCTTGAGACAGTTGTAAGGGAGAAATTAATACACAGCAATCAGTTCAGCTACATTCAGGTAGCTGAACATCAGTTCACAGCTCAAGATGAAAGTCATCCAGCCCTGGTCATTCATCTGCCTGCTCTGTGATCTCCCCTGCCAGCACTTTGGTTCAATACAAATCCTTGCATCTGCAGGAGGGTTTCTGGCAGGGCAGCCTCCCCGTGCTCCTTTCCCTCAGCACCAATGCCAGAAATGTTCATTACAGCACCACAGTTCCTTCAAGTTCTGCTCTCACACAGGAGCATCTATGGATGAGCTAGAAAAATAATTTACTGCTCATTCTCATTCCTTTCACAAGCTGTTCCTGAGCTCAACCATCAGTTCCCCTTCAAGGCTTCTCCTTCTAAGATTCAGATCCAAGTCTCTCTTGGCTCTTCCCTGCCAGACAGACCCATCATGCTCCTGCAGCACTCCCAGAGGGATTGAGGGGTTTCTGCTCCCCATTTCTTACTCTCCTGTGCAAAGCTGTCTCTCCTCACCCCAGCCCTGGCAACATTCCTCCAAGCACTTTCAACACCAAAGTTGGCATTCGAAGGCCTGGATGTTTTGAAACACACTGGCTGTTTTACATTCACCTCTGTTTCTGGGGCACACACTGGTCCTTGTTTCCTTCAATCCCATTGCCTTCCCCTCCTGGAGAGACAAATGTCACCCAGCCATGGAGATTCTAACCCTGCCATTCCAGCCCAGTCCAAAGCTTTCTCCTCCTCTGGCCATGGCTTGGGACGCAGTTCCCACACACACCCATGTTACAAGTGCCCTACATAGCTAAATGCCAGCTGAGCTGTGAAGACTCAAGGGACAATAGTTAGATATTAATTGTCTCAGGATATTGTAGAGCAATCTTGTGGAGTTCTAGCACTCCAGATCTGCCCCAGAGTATCTCTGAAAGCTCTGCACGTGAGCACAACAAGCAAAGCTCCTGTCTCAGCACTGACTCAGAGCTGCTGCTGCAGGCTCATGCCCTGTCCCATGCCTGGCATCTCTCACCACCCTGTGCCACCCTCAGCTTTCCCACCAGGCCCTGTGTTCTGGGCAGGACCTGTTTTTGTTGCACAAAGGGCTCAACAATTCCCCTAGAACCATCCCAACAGAGCCACCCAGCTCCTGCACTAGCATTAGCAGGGTCTCTGCCACCTTAGCAAGTGAAGGCGAGGGGGGAGGAGCACCTTGGGAAGACATCAGCAGATGCACCCACCTGCCTGGTCTCCTGGGTGCAGTTGCTGCTTCTCCATTACTGCTCTCATGCCTAGATGTGCCTGCTGGCCAAAAGGGTTTAGCCAGGGGATTAAGCTCCATGCACAGGAACGAGGAGCCAGCCCTCCCTACAGACATGCAACTTCCAGAGCATCAGCCAGCTCTGCTTGCAGTCACCTGGGGTAGGTGGGAAGCCAAAGCAGGTGGGCATGGCATCCCTTCTGCTGGCTTTACCAGGCAAAGGTCACAGGGCAACAAACAACTGAGCCACTTCCTGCCCTTTGGGCAGTCTCCACCTCAAAGCACCAGGTCTTACCTGTGCTTTCAGGATGAAGGATGAAACTTAAGTTGTGGTTACAGTTCCCATCCCACATAACAGTCCCATCTTTTGGATGCAAAGGTGTCCAGCTTCTCACAACATAGTGGAAAGGAGCATAAGGTGAGTTTGAGCACAGCCAAGTTTTCTACTGCAAAATTTCACAAACAATGGCACCTGGAGTCACAAAAGAAGGCAGATACCCCTACAAAGCAGTGGCATCCTGTGACAAGTGCTGCAGGACACCAGAGCACCTCTTCCAACTGAAGAGCAGTTTTCTGGAGGCACCTGGGCTGCTTGTGCATCTCCAGCTTTGTGCAGCACCACACTCACAGGAAACCATCTTTCCAGGTTGTCCCGTCTCCCCAGAACTCAGGTTGTGCTATTTGCCACTTCATTCCAGGCTAAAAAAGAAGAGTTGTGCATTAGAAAGCATTTATTTTTCCTGACTATACTAGCTTGTCCACAGCCACCTCCTCTAGAGGTCCTCAAGACCTTACTGCACTCAGATCAATCTACAGTGCCAGCAGGCAGCCAGTACAGGACAACAGAGGTGATCAGCTTGGCCTAAGTCCCCTGTCCTTCTCATCTCCCATAAACCTGCACTCATGTAAAGAGGTGTTGTGTCAGACTGGTTTGAGTGACATTTGCTATTTCATTTACCCTGTCCTAGAGAGAAATCATGACAGGGGAAGTATGGGAGAGCAGTCAGAGCAGGGACAAGTCATGACTGAGAGGCCCTGGGGTGGGTGGGGAACCCTAAAGGTGGAGGGGGTGAATGACACACCTACTAAAGCCCAGGGCAGAGCACAGCAAAGGTGAAGGTGTTAATCTAAAAACCAATCAAGATGACATGCCAAATTTCTCTCCAAAACAAGGAGAGAAACACTACAGTAGGATGCTGTGGCGACCACAGCCACCAAGTTGAAGGGTGAAACAGCCACCAACTCCTTCTCTGTGGAGAAGGAATGGCACCAGAATAGGGGGGGGCTCTGGGCTCAGAGGAGTTCAGGACACAGCTGAACAAAGCCACAGCACCCTGATGCTGGAGCAGACTTTATTGCATTTACATAGAGGCCCACATAAACACACCTACATCTGCTTCACAACTCTGGGAGCTACAGCCAAGGGAAGCACCAGTCCAGACTGGCTGACTTCCTAATCAGCCCCAAAGTAAGGACAAAACAGAGCACAGCATGTTCTTATCCACACCAGCACTGGTAGCTCAGGCATTCACATGAGGTCTGAGATGTGCTGCTCAGCCCCAGATCTGGACTGAGCCGTTTCTACAGACCACACCCTGAAAAATCAATGGAAGGTGAGAAGAAAGAAGAATAAACTATAAATCTGTCTCTGCAAGCTAACTCAATGAAGAGCCTCTGCAGAGCCTGGATTCTCTCTTTCCTACAGGGAGCCCAGAACCAGCCCTCCCTCTGGGCACCCTGGCAGGATGCACCTGCCTGGGCAGCACAACCTCCGGCAAAACCTCCCCAGGGAAGCGTCTGGGCACACTGCAATGCTCCAAGTGGGGAGCATTAAATCCATAATTACATGACACACCAGGATGAGCAAGCACCAGACACACACCTCCAAAGTTGTCTAAGACTGGGAAATAATCTCAGACACCCCACACGTGCTCAGCACACAAAACCACACTGAAGTTGTCACAAGTTGCTCGTCTTTCATTAACTAAAGAGCAGTAAACCCAAAGAGGTGGTTAACAGCTCTCCTGCAGCAGGAGAGGGGACACCTCACACTTCCCAGATCTGCACAGCCCTGTTGTGCAAGGTACCAGAGACAACTCACTTCCAGCCCTCTGAGTCAAAAGCTATTGGAGTAAAAACATCACTGCAGAAAGGACAAGTCAGTTCCAGAGATTTATTCATTGCAGCATTTGAAGTACACCAGGTACTTGGTGAAGCTTCCCAGATAGACAACAGGAAGAATACTTGGTACAGTAAATATATAAAAAAAAGAGATAAATAGATAAAATAACATGGCAACCTCTCACTCTGGCTACAAACAGAGCAGACTAGTCCTGAGCCCAGGTTAACAAATAGCTTGTCTTTCCAGCTAGTCACAGTTAGAACATGTATGGCCCCATGCCCAGGGGACAGCAAGGCATCTGTCCTCACAGTTGAGGCAAGGGGTGCACTTCTCAGGCCAGCTCAAGGCTTCAGATGCTGTGCAGAGTCTGACTTCCAGTAAGGTTCAATCTTACTGAGCACATCAGGAAAGCTGGCTCAGCTTTGGTGTACAAAGAGCAGCTTTTCTGAAGAGAGGCCTTCAAGTACTTCAGGATCAGCCACAGGTAATGTGTTCCAGCATCTAGAAAAGCTGGTAGAGCCAAGGCACAGGGCAGCACCCCAGGCTGTTTGTTGCCCTTCCTGCACTAAATCAGATTTAAACCACATCTCGAGGCTGTTCCTTAATTGTGCACAGTTTAGTCATGCTTTTGGAACACACTGCTTTGCAAATCAGCTTTGCAACTCAGCTAAGACAAGTCTCCACCTATTCCAGGTCTCCACTCTTACATCAGGAAAAAAATCCCATACCAAGAGGAGTATCTCTCTTCAGTTTTCACATTTCCATTTTCAGGAACTGTTCACCTTCTGTTGAGAAGGAAGATGAGGTCTGAAGCCATGTACCTGCAGAATGGCAGGCATCCCAAGTAGCACCAGAATGAAAAAAGCCCATATTACTGATAAAAGACTAATCCCACTGCAACTGGCTTTACTTAATCTAGGAGATCACTGTATTTCTCTAGAGTCTGCTTCTCCAGTTCCAGCAGCTTTTGGTACAATTTCTCAGCAGTTTCTTCATCCACATCCATCTGGAAGACAACAAGAACAGCACTGTGAGACCATCACCTTGGTGGCAGACAGCACAGATGCTGAGGGCAGTTCTGCAGAGGGCAGGGAGCATCTCCAGAATTTCTACATTCACAGAGAGACAACCAAAGGCACCTATCACCAGGGCACAGCCTGGAATATATTGTGTGAAAGCATCATTGCACACTCCTTCTGTTCTAACCATCATCTCCTCTGTCTTCCAGACTCCAGCCTGACATAGGAGTTATTCCAGGAAACCTCACAGATAACTCCATGTCAACATTCAACATGCATCTTGTCTCCAACTCCAGCCACAGGACACCCTTGACACCAAACCTTCCATGCAAGGCAGATGGCAGACCCTTAGCCAAGACCCCTGCAGCAGGAGGCTGCTGCTTCATTTACCTTTCTGGGCTCCACATAGCTCTTCCCCAGTCCAGATGTACAGCTGTGGTATTTGACAAGTGCATCCAGGTACTCTGGCTTCTGTTTGAACAGCCACACCTGGGAAGAACAGCACACACGTGTACAGGTCAAGCACACACTTCCCCAACCAAACCTGCTGCCAAGGATGTGACTGCCAGTGGACACAGGAGAACACACCACAGGTGCTTCTACCAAGCAGGGGGAGAGTTGATATCCACAGAAGACCTGAGCTGGCTGCCTACAGCTATGACCTACCAGAGCCAACAGTAAAGCATGTTTATGCCCCAGTGCTAAACCAGTCCACACAGCTAAACTTGGTCAGTGTTCTTGAGACACACTGTGCCCTGCTTTGCTCACTTCTGTCCCCTCTGCCTGCATGTCTATGGCTGCTTGACCACAAGCAGGCAGAGCAGCATTCTCCCTCACTGGGGGGGCAAGGAAGAGTTTTTCTAAAATAGTTTATTTTATGGGCATCTGATGAAAAGCATAGACCACCACCCAGTGGATCAGCACTCACTGCTGTGTGTTAATCTGGGGTGAAAAACAGCACTCACCCACCAGCCCTGCTATTTGTTCAGCCAGCAGACCCTGGAAGAGCTACCTAGGGGGAAGGAATATTAAAATCCAACTTGTGAAATACTTACATGAGCTTCTGCTCCATTATGTGGTGTCAGAGTGTAAGTCTTGGCAAAAAAGCGGATCTGAGGGGAAAAGAAGTAACATGACAGGGTATGTATTTTGGCCCACAGCTTCTTCAGCAAGTCCTCTGCAGCCCAGACACTCCAGAACAACTACCAGAGGTAGAAATACTTCCCAAAGCTGACTACAGGTAGCACTGCACACTTATGACTAAAGCCTCCCTTTATCAGCACTAACCCCGGTCTCTGGAGCCACCCACGGGATCAGCAAGCCCTGCTGCTCGTCCCCAGGCACAGCTCACCCCCCAGCACAGGGCAGCAAGCCAGGCATGCACCTTGCAGGCACCTCTTCTTGAATGGTCTCAAGAGACCATCAGGCAGGAGGCAGAGCAGGTTTGCACTACTTCCAGTGAGGAGAAGTGAGAAAGCATTGCCTCTGCAGTGCCAGGAGGAACGTGATCCACCAGGATCAGCTGCTGTCAGGGCAGCTAAAGCAGAGGGGCCAGTCTGGCAGAAATTGCATCAAGGGTCAGAGCTGGCAGCCTTCAGGGACACAACTTTAGTGAACCTGAAAAGCTGAAGCCCAGAGGAAGAAAAGCAAGGAAAGCTTTGGGGAAATCAGGAGAAGACAACAGAAAGCAGAAGGCTTGGCTCTCCAGAGGGATGGCAAGAAGAGAGCAGGAGACACTGACTTCTAAAAGGATGGAAAGAACACCACTGAAAAATATGGAGTCTGTTCTAGAAGGTAACAGCATTTCAAAGCACAGGGGCCAAGTTTTGTCCTGAGAAGGTTCCACAGGTCTGCAACAGGCTGGCAACCCTTCCAAGTGGAGCCTTGACAATGCTGCTATGGCTGACAGGCTGAACCACAGGTCTATGTAGAGTGCATCCAGTACCACACCTCCAAACTGAGTTTGGGAATTAGGGCCCCAAGGTAACAAAGGGAAGGTCTGCAGAGGGCCCAGCCTGTCCAACCCAGCAAAAGGACAAGATGTAGAGAAGCATGGGTAGCAAGGAGCCAAAAATATGCTGCACATCACTTTAAGTGAAGTGTATTACAGCAGGACTACCTCAACCCAAAACCAGCCAGGAGATCCACTTACCAACCACATGATGGGCATTAGCAGCTTCCATAGAAAAACTGGCAAAATTCCATAAGTCATGTTAGACATTACGAGACCAGGACAAACAACACTGGAATACAGACCCTGCAGAGAAGAAACAGGGTTAGTAACACAACAGCTGGTTTAAGACTGAATCATACTCCTTCCATCCTAGTACTTCCTAACAAGAAAATGAAGGTGAGTACAGAGAGCAGTTAAACAGAGGAAGCTGTACTCTCTAAAGTTACCAGAGCCAGAGAGTGATTCTTGAGAGGTCCAAACTGCAGATGTTCATGTTAAACCTGTGCCCATTGCAAGTTGGTGAGACAGAAGATGCAGCCTCCTCACACACCACAGCCTCACACTACAGCCTACAGCAGTCACCCCACAAATTACAGCCTGCTCAGATCAAAAGCTACCTCATCTTTACAAGACAAGCTTTCAAGCTTCCTAGGACTAAGCTTTCTCTTGGAGTCATTGCACTCTGTGGAAATACTATCTCTGGCCTAGGGCTGCAGGTTACCACCCATGACATCTGTCAGTCCCTCGGGACAGGGAAGGCAGGTTTGCTCACTCATGTTAGGGTGGCAAGCTTGAGCACCAGCATGGAGGCCACCAGGGGAGCCTGCTTCTCAAGTGCTCGCAGGCAAAGCTGCCTGAACAGCCCTGTTCCGATAGGCAGGGCTGCCCCAGAACAGCAACAAGACCAGTTCTTTGGTCTGAAGAGACAGCTAGAACTCACAAGGTAGGGACTGCTCCTAAAAACTGCTGCTTTCAACTGAAACACGTGGACCAGAGCCCCAGAAGCCATCTCTCTGGCAAATTCTCCACTACCAGTTCAAGCTCAGCTGTGCTCAGTTCTTCCATTTGCATTCAGGAAAATGTCAGATTGCTACCAAAAAATGCAACCAGGTAACAACATTGTAATGATACTTATAAACAGTAGGAGTTCATTAGGTTTATTCAGACCTACAAACCCCATCATCACCTGCTGATTAAATTTCCTGTTCAAAACCACACTTGTCAGGTCAGTAGCATATTTGGAAGAACTGTATGATTCCTGCCCCTTGGCATGCTGATAGTCAGAGAGGCTGAAGGCAGACTCCCTGGCATTGCTAGAAGAGGTCCAGATGAGTCGTGAGGGCTTTTCATTACCGCAGAGTAGAGATTGAAGCTGACGAACCTGCAAAAGAATCATTGACTTATTTAATAAAGTCATTTGAAAGTCTGACAGTACAGCCTTAAAAGCTCTTGAGAGCTGCAAGCTTGCTTCAGCTTTCCTGGCTGACCATCACGAGCCTAGCCAGAAGCTGCTGCTGTTCAGGTGTAACTCAGCCCAAGGTTCACCAGGAGCATTTCCAAGCAGCCACCATCCTCTTGCACAGCTCAGCTGAACAGCTCACAATTTGATGCAGCCAAGCTTTGGTGTTCACTCTGGACAGAGAGAACTATGTAGGGTTTACCACTGTCCCTGAACAGAGTACCCTCAAAATTATGTCAAAACTTGCAACAATGACTATCAACCATTTATTCCTATTTTGACAAAGCCTTTGTCAAATACTTTGCCTTATGATTCCTTACCTGTCAGGCTGCAGCCTGCATCAGCTGAATCAGTTCTGTCTCACCTCAGCACCACCTGCACCCATCCCCACACACACAAAACACCAAACCAGCCTCACCAGGATAAAGTGTCCAAAGAGGTTGGTAGCAAACACCTCCTGCAGTCCATCTCCATTCAGCCTGTCTGTCTGGGTCATTACACCTTCTGCTGTGGTCAGCATGTGAAGCAGCCTCCTGGAAGTCAAGGACAGGGGTCAGAGATGAACATGGCCAGAAGGCACCTGCTGCTCCCCTGCTTCTGTCCTTTGGAAGTGTCCCCCACCTCATAGGCACCACACAGACTCGACTCTAATCTTCAAGAACCCAATTAATCCATGAAAAAAAGTGCTGGAAAAAGCTTATGAAGTACCCCAGCCCCTTTACTTCCAAGTGCCTCCATACTGACTAGACCAGAGAAGGCTTGGCCATCCCTTCCCCACAGTAAAACACCATTAAACACCACCTTGCTCTTCTATTTCACATTCAGGTAGCAAAATGAAGCTCCAGTGTGGCACTAAGCCCTAGGGTCAAGACTAATGCAGAAAAGGAGAGCAGGCTGGTACCTACACTCAACACCCCCACCACTGTGCTGGCCTCAGCACAAGTCACTGCACTCCCCAGCTCACTTTCCCCGTGTTGCTTTCTGAATAACATTCATCTCCACCGTGCTTACTGAGGAAGCACCAACCACCAGCTGCACGACCCACTGCACAACCCTACAGCAGAACTACAACACCAGCCAGGAGACCCACCAGGAGCAAAGCTCACCTCCCCCAGACCGCACCAGCGTTTCCCAGTCGGTGCCTCGTGCTGGGAGCTGCAGGCTTTGGGTGAAGCCTTGTCCTGCCCTGGCAGGCAGCAGGTCCCACAGCAGGGACCAGAAGTGGCACCGGGTGCTTCAGAGCACCGCACCGCTTCACCCAGCCTCGCCAGCACAGCCCCCCGAGGGCAGGCAACCCCCTGTGTGTCACACCCGGGCAGCCCCCAGCCCCCCCTACCCGGTGCGCAGGCCTTGCCACAGGGCCTTGAAGTTCACGTGCGGGTTGGGCATGATCCCGGCGTTGAGGTAGACAAAGTCCAGGCGCTTAAACCTACCGGGGGAAAAAGGAAGGGGTGAGAGAGAGCGGGGGGCGGGCGGGGAGGGGGCGGCG